CTTGCTTACACATCGGTTCTCTTATAAATGCCTTTCGATTTTAGTTCCCCATCATCCCCTCTCTCTCTCTCTCTCTCTCTCTCTCTCTCTCTCTCATCTTCTGGATTTTAAGTTTAGATCATATCGTTTTTTATTGTGCGTAGTGTCAGCACAAATGTATACACGCTTCCGGTGTCTGTTTTTAATTTTAATTAAGGTCAGCGATTCGGTAGTGAATTATGCATCGAAAAATAATTCATATTTATCTGTATCTCACTCATTTAAACTCCGCTCTTTAAAACTTCTCTCTGTTAAATTTTAATCCCCACCTTCACCTTTAGGCCTTCCTGTTCTTCTTTCTTCTGTTACATCCTCTCTCTAGAGCTTTCATACATTTCCCTCTCACACTTGTTTCCCACTCCCACACATACACTCTCACTATTTATTTTTTTTATTTTTTTTTATACCCGGAGTTATATTTTCCGATTTCTTTTTGAATTTGTAGGTTTCGTGCACGACCATCCACACTTTTTGAAGAGCCGAATACAGAAACTTGGTGCACTACGTACCACAAGTTCCCCAAACGACCCTCCGCAGATTTTAAATTCAGATTTGTCCTTCTTCTAGACCAGTTGTCATCCATCTGTCTTGCTATTTATCCATAGCTGGAGGGAGAAAAAGAGGATTCACACCTTTCCCAAGGGTATTAGCACGTAAGTGAATGTAATGGAATTCGAACTCGGCTCTCCGATTCCTCAATCCAAGCCGCTATCCATTACTACACCATGCTTCATATTCATATATATATATATATATATATATATATATATATATATATATATATATATATATATATATATATATATATATATATAGAGAGTTTAAGAGAGAGAGAGAAAAATAAAAATATATTTTACACTTGAAGGAAATCATATGACAATAAAAAAGGTAACTTTTAAATTTTAGTTTTCTAAATTGTTGATTTTATAAGTATTCTATGGTAGCACTTATACACACGCATGCGCACTTTGCATTTTCTTTCAAAATAGCTTGAGGGAGTTGTTTGAATTTGACCATTCTTGTTTTTTTGTTGTTGTTGTTTTTTGGAGGGTGGGGTTTATTTTTTTATTTTTTCCTCTTTTTTTTTACATTCATTTTGTCGGAGTTAGCTCCTCCTTAATTCCGTAATTGTTCACTAGGGGACGCTCTCCCTACACTATAAATACTGGACAACTTCTTGCCTCTTTCTCTTTTTACTTTGCATTGGCCTTGTGCCACACCTGACCGCGTGGGGCGGTTGGCAAATATCCTTTTTACTTTGCATTTCAGCGGACACATTTAAAAATGTGATCTCTCGCAGAGAGCCGCATTTTCGCCCACTTGTGGGAAAACGTCATGAAACACACATACACGTACGTACTAACTTTCACCAAAATACAAACTCTTTACGTTCACACACAAACACAAATGTTAATGTTTTTGTCACTTGTAAATTTGTTGTTTAATATATATATTTGTTGACATATATATATATATATATATCTGTCTTGTTTTTTTTTTGTTTTTTTACATTTTCGGTTGGACTCAATTTGAGTCCGCCATTTTCTTGTAGTTGAACCTTCTAGCAGGAATAAACAGCACGTGTCCCTAATTCAGCAACAACACTCAATCACACACGGTCATATACAATTTAAGATTCATGAAGTTCTCTTTCTCGTTCACAAATCTCCCTCAATTCTTATCTCCCTCTCACCTGTCCCGAATTGTTCATTATTCATCATTTTTCATTCTGTCGCTTTCATATTTCTCCAATCAACATAAACATTTATATTATATCTTTCTTTTTCGCCTTTTTATATAGATTTTACGTTCTGATTATTTGCATCTTTCTTTGTTTTTTCTTTCATAAAAATATTGGGCCTTTTTTTTCTTGTTCTTTTATTTCTTATGATGTTCTTTCTTATTTCATTCCTTAAGAAAAAATTGTTTCTTCCTTCATTTCGATCGAAGACGTAAGTTGAACACAGCTTTTGAATTGTGATTTATGTCCTGGCAGTTTCGTTCATTTCACTACATTTTCTCTTTCGTTCATTTATTTATTCCTTCAATTTTTCTTCACTTCTTTCTTTAATTTATTCCTTCAATTTTTATTTAACACTCGCTTTCTTTCATTGATTACTTGAATCTTTCTTCCTCGATTTCTTTCATTTATTCATTCAATTTTTTTTCGCAAATTCTTTCATTTTTTCCTTCAATATTTCTTTCTCTATTTATTTCATTTATTCATTCAATCTTTCTTCCCCTCTTTCTTTCATTTTTCCTACAATTTTTATTTCTTCCTCGCTTTCTTTCATTGATTACTTCAGTCTTTCTTTCTCTCTTTCTTTCATCGATTACTTCAGTCTTTCTTTCTCTCTTTCTTTCATCGATTACTTCAGTCTTTCTTTCTCTCTTTCTTTCATCGATTACTTCAGTCTTTCTTTCTCTCTTTCTTTCATTGATTACCTCAGTCTTTCTTTCTCGCTTTCTTTCATTTATTCATTCAATCTTTCTTTCTGTATTTCTTCAATTTATCCAATTCAATTTTTCTTTGTCAAATTCTTTCATTTTTCCTTCAATATTGCTTTCATGTATTCCTTCCATCTTTCTTTTTCCAATTCTTTATTTATTTTTCAGTAATTCCTTCAGACTTTCTTTCATTTGATTCTTTCTCTTTTTCTTTCATTTATTCCTTCGATTTGTTTTTCTATCTTTCTTTCATTTTTTTTCCTTCATTTACGGCCATATCAGGTTGAAACATCGGTTCCGGTACGATCACCGAAATTAAGCAACGTCGGGCCTGGTCAGCACCTAGATGGGTATACCTCGTAATGGATAATGGCACGGAAGTGGTAATCGTAGTGCCGTCTTCCAATTACACTCGGATTCGCTATATTCACTTTCGAGTAAATGACCTTCGGAAAGGCATGAACCTATTTCTTCTCCCCCAGCTATGGATTAATTAGTAAAATTTGTTTCACAAAAACCAGTATTATCTCAAAAAAAATTTACAGTCTAAATATATTTTCTGGCTTTAAATAACATGCAAACGGTTGATAAGCCGTAGAAAACAAATCAATCTCTCATTTTTCCTTCAATATTTCTTTCTTTCTCTATTTATTTCATTTCTTCCATCATCTTTCTTTCCTTGTTTTTTTCCATTTTTTCTTCCATTTTTATTTATTTCTCTTTTAATTTCATTTCTTCCAGCAATCTTTCTTTCTTTCATTTTTTCCTTCCATCTTTATTTCTCTCTTTCTTTCATTTTTTCCTTCCATCTTTCTTTCTTTCTTTCATTTTTTCTTTCCATCTTTATTTATTCCTCTTTTTCTTTGATTTTTCCATTAATCTTTCTTTCCTTCTTTCTTTCATTTTTCCTTACATCTTTATTTATTTCTCTCTTTCTTTCATTTTTGCAATCATTCTTTCTTTCGCTCTTCCATTTATTCTTTCAATTTCGCTTTCACTTATTCCTGCAATCATTCTTTCTCACTTTCTTTCTTTTATTCCTTTAACCTTTCTTTCTTTCTTTAATCAGTTCCTTCTTTTTCACTTTCTTTCGTTTATTCTCTTAATCTTTTTTTCTTTCTCATTTCCTTTAATTTTTCCCTGCAGTCTTTCCTTATTTCTCTTTTTCTTTCATTTCATCCATCAATCTTTCTCACACTTTTACATATATTCCTTCAATTTTTCTTTCCTTCATTTTTTCTTTCAATTTCTCACTCCATTATTTTTTTTATTCTTTCTCTATTTTCTTTTCCCTCTTTTTCTGCTTCGTATTCTTTCACTGAGTGCGCAAGCGTTATTTGCGGGCTAAATGCTATCGGCAGAGTTCAAATTGCTTTGCCTTAAGAAAGGCATGAATCCCTATTTTCCCTTCGCTACCCTACTATATATAATATAGTAGTGAAAATTATGTTCTTTAACCCTTTTAGGGTAACCAGACTTTGAGTTCAGAACCACGAAAAAAAAAAAACACCCTACTAAGTTTCCCAAGAATATTAGTGGTAATTCATAAATATTAAAGGAATTTATCGTTTACCTCCGTCCTTTGGGGACATGGTATTTGACGAAATGCTTCCTTTATCTCCACCAATGCTGGTCTCAATTCTGGTGTGAAAAAGTAGAATTGGACTTGAAGGTAGTAAAAAACTAATTGACAGAAGAATAGCTATAATCCATCCTTGTTCTTAAGTTGATTTAAATTTTGTTTTCTCAGGTAGAGTGCAAACCAGAAGAAAATAGACGCTTTCTTTTAGGCATTTACATAGCTTGTTTTAGCCTGCAAGAAAGTCATAATCGTAATGCAACCAGTGAAAATCAAATTTACTAATAATGGACTGCGAGATTTACAACTGATCGAATATTTTATATATATATATATATATATATCATTTTCTGCTTCGTTAAAAAAGCCGAGATATGATACTTCAAAATCGATCAGTTTATCTTATCTCTTCTAGTCAAGGGCATTCTATTCATATGAATTTGTCTGGGTACTCCATACTTTTAATCTTGTGCCACATGTAAGCTACGCTTTAAAAAAATCTTTTGGTCTCTTCGACATGGTGTAACGGCCAACAAGATTAGTTACGACTGAATAGTGAGTTCAATCCTCACTCGCTGTTTCATATTTTCGAGCTTGGGCCACATCTAAGCTACGCTTGGAAAATCACCAGATCCATGGGTTTGCTGATCTGTTTGTCTATCTCTTTGACTAGCTGCAATTCGGTTTTCTTTCATCTCACTCTATTCGTATGTATACATCGATCTGTTAATCAATTACTCTATTTATCGATCTATCTTTTAATGTATTTTCAGCCTGACTCTGAATCTATCTAGTCGAGCTTGTCTATGTATATGGTTAAATGATCTGTCATTTTTTTTTTTTTAATCAGTTTTTTTTTTCTGTTCTTGGTTGTCGTTGTTTTCTCTGTCTTATTAGCCTTTATATGTTTTTCGACTTTTCCTGGTTTTTTTTTTTTTTCTTTTTCTTCCGGTTCGGTTTTCTGCATTCCTTCAGGACTTTCTTAGTTCATTCATTCATTCATTCATTCATTCATCCTCTTTCATTTTATCCCTCTCTCTTTCTCTCTCTCTCTCTCTCTCTCTCTCTCTCTCTCTCTCAGTCTTTTGCTTTTTATCCCGAATCTGTCTTCACTTTTTTTGCTGCTCCAATTTTTGTCACACGTTTTCCATTCCCTCTATTCATCTCTCTCTCTCTCTCTCTCTCTCTCTCTCTCTCTCTCTGCACACGCATAAACATATATGCATATGCACACAAACGTGCATAGATGCATACACTCTGACATTTGGCAACATTTATCAAGTTAGTAGTACATGAACACACGCAAGTAGTTTTAGGCGTACGTTTGTTTCACTGCATTTCTAAACACATATTTCTAACTGCACACATACTCACGCACATACACAGACACGCACATACATACACAGATATATATATATATATATATATTTGGAATTTAGGCAACAATCCTTCATTTATACATGTTTCATTACAGACGACAGACAATCTATGTAACCAAAACACCACCACAATGTGCTAATAGTGTTCGGAAAATAAAATATCCCTATAACACTAGAAACATGCAGGCAACACATACACCCAATTAAAAAGCAAAAATAAAATCATCCTTCATAATGTCTAAAAAGTATAGAAAAAGTATAGTCGAAAGCCCTCGGAATTACAGCAGGTCATTTGGACAGTTGCTACACGCCAGAAACATTTGTCCAGAAAAGAAAACACTTGTTCGAAACTCTTATAAAAAATTAAATAAAAATTAATCCCAGTCCATTTCTACCGTCTTTAATGAAAATACATATATATATATATATATATATATATATATATATATATATATATATATATTAATTCATTAAAGAACTTTGGATATTTACCTAAAAACAGTTCTTTCCTATATTCTATATATATTTACACACACACACACACACACACACACACACACACACACACACACACAACACACATATATATATATATATATATATATATATATATATATATATATGTATAAACATAAAATGTCTTAAAATAATTGTCGGACTTTGTCCATTTCATAATGTGTGACATCATTTGTTTACATTTGATACGCCATGAGCAGATATGAATGTACGTGAGAGATTCATAGAAGATTGAAGTTTAAATACAGTAAATTCGACCATGCCAACCAAACGCTCCTCTGTGGCCAAATCGGTAAAGGCACGTCAAATCCGTATAGGACACAGGTTCGAATCCTGTCGGAGGACGAATATTTTCTATGAAAATTTCTCGGACATTCAGGCCGGTAAATGTTGTTTAATAATGTTTATTATAAACAGAGCATTTACTTAAATATTTGTATCTATAAAAGAATGTATAAACATAAAATGTCTTTTATATATATATATATATATATATATATATATATATACTATATATATATACACACATATGTATATGTGGTCCGATACATGCATGTGTAAGTCAGTTTTGTGTGTATATATATGGAATGTTAGATTTTTTATATTTATGTATATGTGTGGATATGTTCCTGCTTGTATATATCTGTGTGTGCGTGTGTGTGTTGGATGCGTAGAGAGAGAGTAGAGGGGAGGGTGAGAGGAGAGAGAGAGATTATCGCAACAAATATGATTACAGGCGCTTAAATTCTATCTATTGGGATTTAGGGCCATTTTTAAAATTATTTTAAATTCAAAACCAAATTTTCAATTTTAAAATTTTATTTTTGTTCCTTCTTGAGTTTAAATTTTAAAATTTAATTTTTTTTTTCCATCTGACTTTGAATTTTCTTTGTAATTATCAACGCCCAATGAAAAAAAGCGGGAAAAACGTGAGAAAAAAGGTGAAACCAAATTCCTTTTCAATTCGTTTGTTTCTAAGAATTGGAAGTTTCATTTCTTTATTTACTTTGCAAACAGGTGTCCGTATCGTTGTGTTAGAAATAAAGATATACAGCAGTGAAAGGAGCATTTAAAAAAAAAAAAAAAATTCAGGGACTGGGTAACCTTTTGTTTGGAAGTGACTTCATGAGAAAATAATATTAATCTATTGTACGCATAGATAGTCTGTAAATGTATTCTTTTTGTTTCTGTACTTAGAGAACTTGAATACTCCCTGTCAACTCCTTTAATCGCACAGAGTCCACTGAGGAGTATGAAGTCAAAACTCTCACCAAAACTAAGCGCTGCATGAGGTTTCCATAGCGATTACGGTTTTACATGATGCACTTGCGAGCCATATCCTATCTGGTTTTTGTACCCGATTTGTCAGTTAAAGTACTCTGTGTTTTCATGCTGTCCCCAATCTAAGCACTGACCTGGCAAGACACTGCTTAACTTCGGTGATCAAATAAGAATCGTTGTTGGAGAGTGGTTTGATTTGGTTTGGTTTGTTTTACAGCATATCAACCTCAATGGGTTACTTAATGCGGACAAAATTTTTATTTCTGGTAATATTTTTTTCTTAAAAAATGTATAGCGGGTAACATCTTCTTTTTTTTTTTCAAAAATGTATAGCTGGTAATAATTTTTTTTTTCAAAGTATTTCTGGTATTAAAATCTATTTTTACACTTACATAGTGGCTTGACCCCAGTTTGGGAGTTAACTATTTACCCATACTTGGGACCCTAACAGGTACTACCACCCACAGTCAGAGTGGACCTGGGAACACCAGCAATTAAGAGGTGGTTCCACGTTCCTCAAAACCTGATCAGAGGCCTTGCTGTCGGATGTAGTTTATCGTCATACCCAGGAACGTCAGAGTGATTTGGCAGTGAGATTACTGCGCAGGTTCAAAGTTATACCTCCGGTAAATGGACAGGAATCCAGATTCGGTCCCAGTAAGTGGACGTCAATAACCTATTCTCGGTCACATCGCCAGATCCCCCCACCCCGCCAAAAAAAAAAATAAATAAAACTTAGGATCATATCTTCAATACGTAACCAGGTAGCGTGACAAAACTGATCTTATATTGTGAAAATGTGATCATGGGGGCAATCTGGTCTCGGCTTCGTCTTTAGATATATCTTTCGGCTAAGAATCATGCCTTCAATACGTAACCGAAGTTCAAGTCGATGTAGTTTTAGATCCTTGAGTCAATTTCAAGTGAAGATATTTCTATCGGTCATGTAGAGAATGAAAGCTAAAAAGATGAAATCAATGTATGCCCAACGCCCAATCTAAATACTTTGGATAAATAATGTTAGGTTCCCGAAACACATGCAAAAAGACGTCGCAATATGAGACGTGTCAAAATATCCAGTAGTTAAATGATACTTAATATTGTAGTGGGCTATCAGTTATAATGAAGTGTATGAGTGTTGAAACAGATTAGTTTGATTTTGACTTGTTAGCCCACCATAAGAGGGGTATAAAACAAGAAAATCATATTGTAAAGTGAAATAACAAATTTATATACATATAAATCAATTATGGTCTTTACAAATAAAATTAATATGTTTTGGTTGATACAAGAATGAGTTTATGTGTACGTTGGCAGGAATGTATGTATGTATGGGCGTCATCGTAGTATAGGGATGTCTTTGAAGTAATGGCTCAGTCTTAAAATGTTCCGTTCGTTTATCAAGTATAAATGGAGGGAGAAAGTTAGAGATAATAGTAACGATCGCTTAACGTCTGTCAAGGGACGTGTTAATACGCTCGTCTCCTTCTCTCTGGTCACAGGCGAACTTGCCCGTCTTTTATTTTGTTTGAAAAGGTCACTCGCGGATATGATTGGGGCGTTTCCATTGGACAACAAACAAACTTCGCGTCGACTCGCGAAAAGCTCCGTAAAAGAATTTTGTTTCTGAGAATTAAAGATTATTTGAATTTTGTTTTTAAATGTTTCCTAGTTTTCTATTGGCCGAAAAACATTTCGCATCAAGGTGTGAAATTTCACGAGTTTTGTTTTGGATTCGTTTTTGCGTGTGTGTTAAGCAAAGTTTGTAAATTTGAGTCTTTTTAATTTCTAAGAAAATCAATGAGTCAGTGCTTAGCATTTGAATTTTAAATCTAGATCTTGTTTTGTTCACGACAATATAAACAACCTTGTGATTAGCTGCAAGCACCTGCTGAAAGTTCCTTAGACTATGTGAACCTGTGACGTCATAGATACTTTACAAGAAATTGAATGTCAAACGTGACAATACCAGATAAATATCAAAATCAATAACAATTTTTTTTTTCATTCGATGGTTTTTTTTGTTTTCTTTTTTTTCGGCAGATATAATCTTCATAAATTTGGATTTAACATTTACTTATTTTTGTTAATCTAATCTTAATCTGTAAATTGCAATCTATATATCTCATGCTATAATCTGAAATTTTGCAACCTATATATCTCATGCTGTTCATATCTATCTATAGATAGATAAAAATGATGACAACATGAGATATATAGATTGATAGTAGATATGGACAGCATGAGATAGATAGATAGATATGAACAGCATGAGATAGATAGATAGATAGATAGATAGATAGATAGATAGATAGATAGATAGATAATAGATATGAAAAATCCATATATATATATATATATATATAGTAGGGAGGAATACAACACCACACACTGATTATATACTACTGTAATTTTACTTCCACCTTTACACACTGTTTCGTTTTTTTCCCACACCATTACACATCATAATAATAATAAAAAAAAAAAGAGAGCGACTAAAAACAAAGGCTAACTTAAAAATCCGGATACGACAGATATAGATATATATTGGTTGATTTGAAAAGAATAATCTCAGTTGGAAATAAGTGATTAATGTTCGACGAACTATGAAGAAAATCCTTTTTTTTTTCTTTAACTTCTGACTCGTTCGATCTTTAAATACAGCAGTTTATTATCTTCTTCTTTTTGATTCCATGAATTAAGCTCTTACTACTTTTTTAGTTTTTCTTTATATCTCTCATAGTTTTGAAACGGTAATGTTTTTTCAGGGAGAGGTTAGATAGACACTGCATTAGTTACAAGCAATACCAATTTTAAAAGTATGAAATTCAAGCCTCGGAAAAAGACAAAAAAAATACCGATTCGTGAATGTTTTTTTTTTCTTTCCATAAATATAGAAGTTATCACAACATTGTTATGATTTTTTTTTTAAATTGAACACAAACATCTTTTTGACTTTCGCTTGACATGGTTTTCCCTTCGTCCTGAAGCGAAAATAAACAACATGGTACTTCTGCCGATTATTTTGAATATATAAACAAGAAATACGCAATTTTTACACGATCTTTGAAAAAAAAAATCATGTTCAAGATATCAGGACATGATAGATGTCACAGATCTTAGAAGAATGGTATTTAATGGTCAAGTTCAGAGAACGATGTGTGTGCGCGTGTGTGTGCGTGTGCGTGTGCGTGCGTGTGCGTGTGTGTGCGTGTGCGTGTGTGTGTCTGTGTGTATGTGTGTGTGAATAACAAAATGGAGAAATAAAATAGTTTAATGATACATTTCATTCGCTCTATAAGGCCCTTATGCATGGATTCTGTTTTATCTTGCTCTCTCTCTCCCCTCTACCTATCTCTCCTCCTCTCTCTCTCTCTCTCTCTATATATATATATATATATATATATATATATATTATCTGTAAATTTCTACTATCAATTTTATCCCGACATCAATGTTTCTTGCTAAAATTTCCAGTCTTCAGTGGTATTTCCATTTTTCTTACTTTCTTCTTTTCTATCCATCTATCTATCTATCTATCTATATATATATATATATATATATATATATATATATATATATATATATATTATAATTATTTCTTTTTAAAATATGATTCCATCGCGACATAGAAAAATTCCATGTTTCGAAGCTGAAATTTTTACTGTTCTTTCTTATTGTTTTAAATATACAAAATGGAGAAATAAAATAGTTTAATGATACATTTCATTCGCTCTATAAGGCTTTTATGCATGGATTCTATTTTATCTTGCTCTCTCTCTCTCTCTCTCTCTCAATATATATATATATATATATATATATATATATATATATATATATATATATATATATTTACATTGGAATCGTAATCACGATCCAATTCATCACACCTACAAATTCAAAAATGTAATAAATTATAACCATAGAATATTGGTGTTTGAGCCTTTATACATACATACATATATATATATATATATATATATATATATATATATATATATATATATATATATATATGGGGGAGGAATACAACACCACACACTGATTATCTACTACTGTAAATTTATTTCCACCTTTTACACACCGTTTTCATTTTTTTTTTCTTCACACCTTTACACACCTTTTGTTTCAAAGTCGGAGATAGTTAAAAACAATAGCAATAGAGATAATTAAAAAAACAGAGAGAGCGACTAAAAACAAATTTAGATTTACTAACTTAAAAATCCAGATACGCCACACCTCAAATATTTAAAGTTCAGCGTTTCCTTTAATGTTTTCAGTGTAAAATTGTAACTGGCATTTATTGTATAACTCCACACACACACACATCTCGCTCATTTTCCTCCGTAAATATTGAAAATGACTCCATTAATAAAATCATTATGTGTCTGAAGAAGTTCCTTCGCAAAATGAAACGCTTCACTATTAAGATTTTTCTCCATTTTGTCATTCACTTAACCACTATTATTATATACATACGTACGTATATATATATATATATATATATATATATATATATATATATATATATATATATAAGTGAGCATTGAAGGCAACCCTCAGTTGACATTTTACATACGCTCTATCCCTGATATTGAGCACTTCATTTCATAAATATATCACACCAGAAAAACTATATCAAAATAAGATATATATATATATATATATATATATATATATATATATATATATATATATATATATATACATAAATACAAATGTAAGATGATGATATATATACAAATATATATATATATATATATATGTACAGAGAGATTTATAATATAATTCATATATATATATATATATATGTATATTTGTATATATGTATATATATATATATGTATATTTGTATATATATATATATATATATATATATCACTCTTACACACACACAATGATAGAGAGAAGAAGAAGAAGAAGAAGAAGAAGAAGAAGAAGAAGAAGAAGAAGAAGAAGAAAACTGCCTGCAGTTTGGTGTTCGATCTACTTATTATATTTATTGTATATATTAGATAATCAAATGGTAGCTTTGAAGACGAAAATGTCCGTCACGCCCCCGCTACGGACAAAAGCGTAATCAGTTTCTTTACAAACATGTCGATTCTGCCATTTTTTTAAAAGATATGTTTTTTAGACAAGACGCTTTCAGAAGTGATACGATTCTGAAAATTAAATATTCTGTGAAATTACGTTTCCTTTTGGATGAAGAATAGAAAAGAAAAGTGAACATTAAGTTACTGGATCGAAGAAATTTT